CTGGCATTACTGCACAACTGTCATCAAGATCTTCGCCGCTGTAAGGAGAGAGCCAGAGAAAGCGTCTGGTAGCCCAACTGCAACAGCAACATCGAGAATCTGGTCGCAGGCTGCGATAAGTGAACGCAAACAAGGGTGATACACTCGGGGCCCCTGATCTCAACGCCAACGCCGGATCGACCGTGGAAACACCTTGGCATCGACTTGTTCCAGCTGAAAAGCCATGAATAATTTCTTGCGGTAGACTATTATTCGCGGTTCTCTGAGGTTGTCACGCTGAGCTCTACGTCAGCCTCAGCAATTAGGGATGTCGCAAACCACCCTAGCTTCGAATTTGAAAGGTTTCGATATTTTCGAACTGAACTGAGGTTCGAAATCGAAAAGTTTGCAACTTTCGAACACCGTGGAGTTTCGAATTTCAAAAGTTTGAAGCTTTCACAGTTTGTAGAAGTTCGGGTTCGAATATTTCGAATATATTTTTACTTGAGGTTCGAGAAATTCAAAGATTTCGAATTTTCCTAGCTTGAAATTCGAGAGATTAAAAAATTTTCGGTTTCTTGGGATCTGAAGTTCGAAAATTTCTAAGATATTGAATTTCGTTAAATCTGAAGTTCGAAAAATTCGAAGATTTAAAATTTCTTTGAATCTAAAATTAGGAAAATTTGAACGTTTCGAAATTTTATCGACAAAGTTAGAAAAGTTCGAAGGTTTCAATCTTTTTAGGGCTAAATTTGAAAAAAAAACTTCGAAGATTTCGAATTTTTTTTAAGTCAAGGTTTGCAAAGTTCGAAGTCCGGTTTTCATGTTCCTCCACAGTTTCAGTCTCAAATAATGTTTTCACGCCTCACTGGTTTCCACGAAATCAGATTTAGAAAAGTTCGGGTGTGATATTTTGCCAGCGCGAAGTTGGTCAGGCAATTAAAGGGCAACTCCGCTCAATTCCGAAAAATTTAGGCTTACATGTGATTCCATTTCACAAAGCACTACTTAACAGCTTTACGTCTTCAGATTCGCGAAATGTGGAATGAGTTTTGTGTAACCTTAATTTAAACATCAGCTGACACCGAAACCGAAACTTCGGTTGCATCAGGCTACATTGGTCTCGTGCCGTCAGAGTCATGGCCACGTCACGTCGAACCACGTGGTCTTGTGACGTTTGGGGGGGTCGAGGGACAGGACACGCGACGCGGGCAGGCTGCTTCGCATGGCGTGGACAGTGATGACCCGGGAGAGAGGGGGAAGGGGAGAAGCGGAGAAGACGAAAGAGGAGAGGGGAGCGGAGAAACAGATCGATAAGCGCGCAGGGCAGCGCAAACTAGCGCATCCGCATTACAGTGATCACTTGGACGCCGTTCAGCCAACACGGGGAGGAGAAACTCATGACGTCATCGTTCAATTTCACTCTGAGAAGTAAAAACAAACAAAACGTGAGAATGACGTAGTCATGCCTCTGATGTAGTGGCTCAACGTTGGCCGCTCCAACTCCGTCGCATTGACTGCGCTGACGATTGCGCTTCACGTCACACGCTAGAGTTGGCAGATTTCGGCAACTTGGCTCACTTGAAGGTTTGCTGGCCAGTTAATTAAATATTTAGACAGAATTAGGTCGTAATATTTGACATAGGGTCTTCCTATATGATACTGAAGAGGGCTACATACTTTTCTAAATATCAAAAATGAAGCGGAGTTCCCCTTTAAATGAGACGACGAGTGTCCCGGATGTGCTGGAATATTTGCCAGTGCAGAGTGAAGTGTGACCATAGATTGTGACCGCCAGCCCGGGGGGTCTTTAACGTGCATCACGCAGTAGTGATCACACGAATGCGCTGTTTTACGATACTCATCCAGTTCGCAACGACCAGGGGCATGCAGGAGGTTGAAGCTCAGAAAATTATTGAAGCGATCTGGCAAACTACCTCCCCACCCCCTTGCACGCTGGTAGTAATCCGACCAAACGCCGCCCGAGTGACGCTGGCATATAGCAAGTTTAGTCTGTAATTGTTCTAGAGGTTTAATTTCCAGGACGGAGGAAACGCCGAGCAAAAAGCACAGGAGCTGACACAACTCGAGGTCTAGGAGCGTTCTACCATACCAGTGGCGTTAGAAGAGGAAAAATGGGAAGAAAAAGGTAAAGGGAAAGGGGGAAGGGGCTCCAGCCCCCCCCCCCCCCCCCTTCCCCTCCTTTTCCTTCACCAGATATATCGGACTGTTAAAGAAAACAATATGGGGAAAGAGGGCGTGGTAGTGCTTATTTTAATCTGAAATTATTTATGCATATGTATAGCTACTGTCGCTCTTCACTGCATAAAAGATCGCGTAGATGGTCATTGTCGGAAACTCGTTGCCAGAGGGCACTACTTGTCACATGCTTAATGGTTCGGACGTTCAAAGCTATGTATTTTCTATCTAAATAACTGTGCCATTGGTAAAAAAAAAAAAAAAAAAAAATTAAATATAATAATAAATGCGGGGATGAAAAGCTGGAGAAAAAAAAAAACTATCAAGAACATGCCAAAAGTGTTGTATTTTTGCATATTCAGAGGCTCAGAACTTCGAAACAAGTTTCTCCTACCAAAATGTGTGATGTGCTGAACTTTAATAGTATTAGAAATATTCCCCCATGAGTTAATTTATTCCTCAACGTGAAAACACAATAAATACATTATTTTGTATTCTGCAGACGGTAATGATATGTACTGTCTGTGGTGTTAATTTAAGGGCTAGTTTCCCAGTATTGTGTCCATCAGCAAACAAATGATGACACGAAACTCTGGACAGTTACTGCCATCTATGAGCGACGGCATCAACCAGACAACCGGCTTACTGGTTGTCTGGTTGCCGTCATTGCTCAAAGATGGCGCAACCTTTCCAGCCTTTCCATAGAGAGGCTCTAGTTCCTTTCCCTCTGGCTTGCCGACTTGCGGCCGGCCATTACTTAATTCCCACCATAGTACAGCTTCGCTGGTCTTCCTTCTTCACCAGAGTGGAAAGGCTGAAAGTTTTTCAATCAATGTATTTCCAGCTTCTTACAAGCCACAAAAAAAAACTGGGTTTCTTTTTTTTTTTTTCTATTTTTAATATTGAGTGTGTGACTTTGATGACCCACGACTTTGACTTTATTTATACAAGTGCCTTAATGGCACGTGACCACGTAGAAGAAAGTGAGCGTGACTCAAATTAGCCAGTTCTTGATCGGCAACTTTCGGGAGGGAAAAAAAAAAAAAAATTTTGAGCCGCAAATTCTGTTTCGGGGAGCTGGGCTCTCATATGTCAAGTAGAAATAAAAACCTTGGCGAGCATAATACCCTGTCAGTGTCCCTTTAACATCACATATAACAAAAACCAGGGAATACAAAATTACTGCTGGGAACAGAAAGGCACAGTGCACGTTTAGGAAGTCGGCTTGTTTGGATATCCATGTTCCTCTACCCTCATGGGCCTACCCTGATAATATTTCTGTCTGATAAAAGTAAACATTCACATGCACGCATTTCATTACAATTTCAGCATGCACCGACTCTGGCCATGAACTAAAGGCAAAAAATAAGGTTCCAGATCAGGGCAACATTTTGATCTTGCCAATTATGGTTTGGAAAGCCTTTGAAGTTCACTAATCATGGAATTCATGAAAATTATAAGGTCATAAAAAAATTAAAGGTGTAATGTGGCTCTATAAACACATGCTGGCATGGCTGATGCTACCTTTCTGGAGGGGTCTGATAGATCAACCACAGTTCTGATTTGCTCTAATCAGTTGCCATCTGGACATACACCTCATAGAATGTTTTTTTTTTCTTTTTTATATTCTGCACAAGCTGACATGAGGCAAACCATTCCACAATGATCTGACATGTAAAAATAAATTAAGTCATCTGAATTATATGGTGTCGGACTGCACCATTTTTTTTTTTCCCAGAGAATAATGGGGACAGTTTAATATTAATGAAGATTTTTAATCGAAATCAGTGTGTGGCTTCGGGCATTTATTTTAATTAACTTATTACACACTCTTTAGTCTACATAGCTTGCTGAAGAGATAATTTGCCAATCTTTCGGAACCTATGAAGAAAGCTATTCTGCTAAATAATAAAAAGGCAAAATTAAGCAGCTTGGCACTATAGTAGACAGTCATAATTTATTTTGAAGAAAGCACGAACTGGGATGCACACAAAGGAGGGGACATGGTCAAGCGTTTGTCCGTGTTCCTTTCTTCGAGTTCATCTCAATTTGCACATACAAGTCTCTTCAGCATCATGCACCAACTAGCCCAAACACAATCATTGTTAAACAATTGATTTGCAGCCCCAGACGTTTGTAACACCATAAAGCACAACACATCTGACAACTGCTCACTTCATTCCACCTTGCCGTGACAGAGGCACATGTATGTTTGCATATTTTCCTTGCTTAACTGATTGCACACTTCCTTGATGATTGTTCGCAACTATGAGAAACATCCTTCCAACATGATGCCCAGTGCCACACCTAAAAAAAGCATGGCCAAGCAGATGAGTGACATACTTTTGAAAGCGATGACATCGACAGCCTTAGTGAAACATACTGTGTGTTCCCAGTAAATTATTCTCCAAGGTCTTGAGGGTGGTAAAATCGCATAAATGCTGAACACAAGTTTAAGCAAACAGAAATTGTGTGAAAGCTCGAGCTTCGTGTGGATGGGTGGGCTAGTGGCCATCCATCCTGAGATTTAAAGTCCTGCCTTTTCCCCAAGTAGTGAGCGTCGCACACCAGCAACAGCCGAGGGTCCAGATATCAGAACCAGGTGTTACGCTGCCCTGGTTTCCTAATCTACATTGTGCTGGATAAGTGTGGGACCCTTATCATGCTTAAACCCTCTGTAATCGCTCTATGCTAAATTAGAAGACTCGGAGCTATTTGGTCTACACAAATAGCCATCATTCTCGAGAAGCCATTCACATTCCACCCAAGCGAGTGACCGCTCAAATGCTCCCCGACTGTCACGCCCCTGATGCGATGCTTACCTCGTCAATGCCCCTGTGGGGTCGGATCACCATGTGCGATGTGTACTTGGTGACTCGGACGCACTCGTTGATGGGAGGGCAGGCAGGGTGATCCGTCGAGCGAGACATGAGCACCATGACGTTGCGCCGGCTGTCCACAAAGGCCCGCCGAATGTAGACGTAGTCCCGCTTGTACATGGGGAACTGCAACCGCCAAACCACATTCCACGACCATCCCCCTTGCGTATACTAAAGCAAGCACACTTTTCAGTTCCGGTCTTAAGTAATTTGCACAAGCTTCCTACTTTTCTCGGCGTGGGAGGGAGGCTATGCAAATGAAGATGTCTATTTGGCACGCCTTGAACCGCGGCAACTGCCAAATTTAGTACGAGACAACAAGGGTGCTATGACAACTATGATTTTTATTATATGAGCATACCTCAAACAGAGTTGTAGAAGCTACCAAAGTAAACAACGTAAAATACAGAGAGATGCCCCACCCCGAAAGGTAACCCACCCCTATTTTTGGCTTGATTTGCTATTTTTTTTAAACCTCAAAAGATAGCCCATTCAAAGTAATCGTAGTTAATTGGATCAATGATGACCTTGGCACAAATGCGTCTTATTAGCTTTGGCGGGATATAAGCGAATATTGCTGACTGGGAAGTACAGTCATCTCTGTTTCATTGCCCCTCGCCACGATAACAAATTTGACAGACACGAACAACCTAAAAATAGCATTTTTTCAACTTTTCTTGATCGCACACCGAAAGATAGCCCTCTTTTTTATTTTCATCCAGTTTTCTATAGATTTTAGGTCTCTCGGGATTTTACGGCAAGTTATAGTTGCAGCTGCTTGAGCTGGAATGTATGTAAGCAATAAATACAATAGCACATTTCTAAGCGTATCTACTTGGAGTAACTCGAAAGAACTATTGAAGTGACAATCAGTTACTTGGGAAATATAGCATGAAGTGAATCTGTTTTCAATGGCAGGAAAGGGAGAATTTCAATCATGTTTTCATGATGTAATAGCTTGTTAGATATTAATTTATAAATTTTCATGTTATTTAGCCACATTTAAAAAATCACCTTCAAAGAATGTGTTGCAAGCAGGGGGAGAGCCTTCGCACCTCCCCCGCCCCCCTCCTTCCCCGAAATCCAGATGACCCTATTGCGACTCTAACTCACGATTGGGGCGCCACTCGTTTTCTAAAATGGCGGTTATAGTGAGGGTTGGAGATGTGTGCCGCTGCTGAGCCTGCCTAGTGTGCTGGCTTCACTGAGCAACACAAATTATTTCTGGTAATATGAGGAAGATAGAGTGTTATGAGTGCAGCTCACCTCTTTATCCTGAAAACAAAAACGGCGTTTAGCGTAATATTTACGCCAGGAGGCACATTTTAATTCTGGAGTGAAACTGAAACTAACCTCTATTTTGGTTTTAATTTCTCAATATAGGTCTTAATTTCAGATTCTTTCATAACTCAACATGTGTCTCACAACGTAATTATTTAGTTGAATAGGTTGTTCGCAGAAACTTTATTTTGTGACATCCATGTTCGATCCAGGCACTTCAAAATATTTTGGAGAGTTCAGTTTCCCATTAAAGATAGGGTTTTTTATACACCTTAGTGGTAACATAGAATATTGTAGTTGTGGAAAAAATCAGAGCCGATATTTGTGCGTTCTCGCAGCCTTTTTCTCGCTCAGATAATTGTTACAGGAAATAATGAACTGCGGGCCTTTTAATGGTTTTTTGGCAATTCAGATGATTAATTGCTTTAACATTATTCCCAATACAAGAATAACAGAATAAATCTAATTTTTCCAATATTTTCAGAAAACGTATAAATTAATAAACGCTGCTCTCACTACAACAACCCAAAGACGGAATCCGAGTCAGACAGCTGAAGTGTGTGCGTTTTTTAAAGCAATGCGTGATGCATAGGACTTTATATTAATCTATTGTTTGACTGTTTGTCTATCTTGATAATGATGTCAGAGTTTTTCATATGCTAAAAAGAAAACAAAATACCTTTCTGGAAAGACTATTATGGTTAAATGGTGTATTTTTGTGATTGTGGCATTAATTGGGGGCATACATTGTGGTGATTTGTATTAATAATAATAATATTAAAATTCAGATATTTTAATAGATAATTTTTCAAGCTCTAATATAATTTGTTGCTTATGACCTAATTTCAAATGCACAAACAAGTATGACAATCAAAAGTGTGCTAATTATCATCACTGGTGCCAATTGCAGCATTTTTAGAAACCAAGTTATAAAATAAAAATAGTCTAAAATCAATGAAAACATTCTAGCTAATGTGAGAAATCCATGTAAAATTACATTAATTGTGGGTAAAGCATATTTTGCTATCAAAGTTGCAACTTTTGACAATCGGCAAAACTTCCAAAGTCACCGCTAATATCCTTCAAGACCAGGAGCCCCAAAATAAAAAATAAAAATATATATATATTTTTTTAATTGCTAAATTTTTTATAACATATAGTTTCTTTCGTTTTTATGCAGCGTCGTTTTGCTAATCTCAGCCTTTCCAGTTCAAAGGAACGCCTACCTGCTTGCACCCACATCTGCTCACTGCAGCACGTTTCATTGGCGTTGAAAGCCGGCAAAACAGTAGTGAGTTTTCGTATTGCATATACGAGCGAATGCAAACGCTGTGTGTTTGCGTTTGCTTTGCGTGTTCCACATTGCGCGTGCGTGCGCGTAGCCCAAAATTGCGGCATGCATTGGTGCATGGCGATGATGCACGTGCACAACATGGGGCACGCAACTCTAACACAAACGCACAGCACTTGCGTTTGCTTCTATATACAATACTAAAACTCTCCAGTAAGGTACAATCCCATACCGGCTGCAGCACTAGTATGTTGGGACAGTGAAGAGTGCTTTTTGCGTTTGGAAATGACATTTCACGAGCCAAGATCGCGAGCAGTTCCGCCGTGCCGGATGAGCGGGTGAATCGTGGGACCCTCGCTAGAGCGCTTCCCGTTTCCGCCGCGGGAGGGCGAACAATGAGCTGGAGACACGAATAATATACACGTGCTTTTCGACTCCCCCTACCCCCTTCGCACCCCAAGTCATGGACATCCCAGTCACTTTTAAAATTCTATTCTTACTCGTGGTACAAACAAACGGGCATTACTATAAAACAAAGAAGCCGTATTTGCGAGTGCTCAAGGAGGTGAACCAAGCAAAGCCATAGCAAAATGTACCAAAATCATTAAGATTCTATTTTCTTTTTTTTATATTCTTTTTCTAATCAACCAGAGCACATGTGTTTACCGTATGGCAGACAAGTTATAAGCTGCAATAACAAGCAAAAGCAGACATTCCTGCCGAAGCCTCTAAAACAACAGCCGTGCTCCAGAAAGGAATTGAGCCGCTACTCACGGGATATTGCATAACCCAGTGCACCACCTCACAGCCACCCTTTGCCTCACGGTCGATGATGTCCAACTTGATGACAAGCTTGTCCCACCGCTTGCGATACTCGGTGTCTGTCTGCATCGAGAAACTCTCACATTGTCATCGGTGGAACGGAAACACAAGAACTTGCAGTAGACTTCCATAGCAAAAAGCACTCCTCACACAGTTGCAAAAACACCCTTTTTAATGCGACACATTCTTTGGTTTGTCAGGGCCCATCCGCGCGTAAGAGTGAGGTGTAGTAACTCTTTGTGGTTGAAAATAGGGTGCACGTGTTGTTTTGATCATGATCATGCAGAAAGATTTAAGAAACGAATGCGCCGCTGAACTCTGTTTTGCGCGGACAGTGTGTGACCGCTCGGACGGCAGATTCCCAGCCCTCGGCGCTTGGCGTACGGATTATGTCGATCGTTCCGCTAGTCGCACTCTTCCACCGTCATTTTGGATAAGCGTGATTGAAACATCACGTGTACCATATTTTTCAGCCATCGAGAGTTACTCCAATGCAGTTATCAGGTTTGTTTCTCGCGACCACCGCCAGAGTATTATTTCCGACTTCTGGTTGGTCACATTCGAATTTCTGAAGACGCCCTGGAACACGCCCAGCCCGCTTTCGGCCAATGGCGCCTCCTCATTTGTCTCCTATACTTACCAACGAATGGCCAAACTCTACATATACGGCTCTGCCCCCGACCTTAATCAATGACTGCGCTTGCTTGGCTGTCTCGTCATCGTGCGATTCCTACGCGTCGTTATGTCGCCCTCTGATTGGAATGCTCCCCCTTGCGTTCCGAGGCACAAAAGACGTATTTTGGAACACTTGCTCGACGTATAGGGGCTTTGCCGCACGAAGTCGGCTCCACAGAGACATTTTCTAGAACAGACAAAAGCTGTACAGCGGTGCTGCTCTATTGTAGGGTGTAGAAAGTCATGCTTTCTCCACGCCGCCGTCGCCGCCGCCGCACAAGTTCGTCTGCTTCGGGGCGCCGCCGCCGTCGTCTGACCGGCGCACAGTTCTATCACGTCTGCTTGCGCTTTTTCAGGAGTTTCCTTTGGGCTCTAAAAGTTACTTATTCATCTTAGTTTTTTTGTTATACTTCAAACAAAGATGAATAAGTTACTTTTAGAGGCCATAGGAAGCTTCCGAAAGAACGCAAGCACCACGTGATAAATAAAGACCAGTCACGTGATAAATACGGACCACTTTTCCGCGGTGCCCGCGGGCGCCAACTACAAATTCGTTTTGCGCCGTAAATATAGCTCTAAAATTTTTTTTTCTTCGTTGTAAAATCGTTTTTTGGCGTCCTTTTTCCATCTAAGCCGTTTAAAAAAAATGTTTTTTTCCTTTGCATGTGTCCTTTAAGTGTTGATGCATACCATAAAATGGAATACAGATAGAATTTGATAACCACAAGGGTTTTGTCGTTGGGTGTTTTCATGTCAGTTCAATCAATGATAGTCTGGGTCATACTTTGTATACTTCTGTAAAATATATACTATATGAAAGGAGTAGCCTTGGGAGAAGCGCTCAGCTAAATACCTATATGTATACAGTGTGTTTCACGAAACGTGGGCCAAATCATGCCAGTGAAAAGTTTGCATTGCACAGAAAAAAAGATTGATGTAGTATTGGTCCCTGCCAAAAGGCAAATTTAGGAAAAGAGAACAGTGTTTGACAAAATTAGGTCAATAATTACTTCTAGTCATTAACTTTGTAACTAATAAATTTTAATGCATCATTTCAATTAGAAACAGGGTGCAAATTATTGAAAACTATTAAATCCACCCACACTGTAAAGATATAAGGCATGAACAGCATTTTACGGCGCTCCGAAAAAACCCTAGATTTGGACGAGTTTTGAAAGGGAGGGAGCAACACGATGCAACACAAATACAAAGCTAAACTAGGGACACCATGACTTTCTACACCCTGCGACAGAGCAGCACCGCTTTTCAGCCTTGGTTCGTTCAAGAAAATGTCTCTTTGGAGCCAACGTCGTACGGCAAAGCCCCTATAACGAAGACAAGCTAGCTCAATTTGAGTGAAGGTTTGTTGTCATTGTTCTCTCAATGTTTTGTCACCACAAGTTCAAGACACTGCAAACGGTTAAGGAGAGCTTAAAAAAAAATAAAAGATGAAGTTTTTTTTGTTTTTTTAAATATTGTTGTGCAATTTTGCCACATTTATGGAAATTAGCTGCATTTCTACACTAATAAAACAACTACAATAATGGCGAAGCATATCTTTTTTATATATCCAGAAAACTTATTTAAAGATGCTAATTTTGATAAATTTTGTGCTGCTTTATATAAAGTAGTTTGTTGGTAAATAATTTGTGAATGTCCTTCTAAAACATGTTTACTTGACGTGTTTCATAGCTTTTTTTGCACAGGAATGTTTTATTGTAACTTTTAATAATATGTGTATACCTAGGTAAACTTTTTATTAAATGAGAAGGAGAAATTATTGTTACATGCATGCTTCTGTGTGAAATTGATGTGTGGGCAAAGTACCATAGTCAAACCTTGGCAACCTCCACGCCTCGAGCTTTAAAATTTCATATCTCTGGAAGAAAATTAGCTACAAAGTTCTAATATAGCTGAATGGCTTTCGAACATAGCTTTCACAAATATTTTTTAAATAAAAATAAAAAATTTACTTGAACCATCACTATACAATCTGACGTGTAAACACCCATGAATTGTATTCTGACACAATGTTAAAACAAAAAACTAAAAATTCTGAACATCAAACTACCGTAAAGTTCCGAGAGAATGCCCGCCCCCAAGAGATCGCCCATCCCATTTTTTGGGCTGCATATCCAAACATAAAAATTCCGAAAAATCGCCCACCCCACGATTCCCGCTGAATATCGATCACGCGATGCCCGAAGGGAATCACATCAACCCTGCGATCTGCGGTATCAGTACATGTGACAAACGTGTTCACCGTGGGTTCTCTCATGTTTATGACACTGCGACACGTGAATCTGCTGCGTCCGCAATCTGCAATATCTGTTCCCATGACGTGTGTGTTTGTAGCGGGTTCCAGAGCTTTTGTCCAGAATGTGCGCACGAGGTATCACTTCTCGCGACACCCTAGTTTACAGCGGGTTCTCACGCGTTTATCGCACTGTGAAGCGCAAATGTGCTCCATCCACGTTCTGCGATATCTGCTGTCGTGACAGGGGAGTTTGTGACCAATTCCTACATACTTATCACACCGCGAGACTCGGAGTGCACGCGATCTGTGGTATCAGTTACCGCTTCACATAGTTTGTAATGGCGGCTCACCCCCTACCCCTCCGTGCTTATCACCAATATTTAATAAAATTTTACTGTTGCATCGCCCACTCCACATTTTTCATCACTTTCCCAACCCCCCGCTGACACTTATGCCCAGGCGGCGGTGGAAGAGACGAATGAAATGGAATCTCCATTCACGACAGCGGAATTCCTGGCGGCACTGGAGCAAGGTCGTGTCAACAGCGCCCCCGTCAAGGACGATATCACCTGGGCGATGATTCGCAACCTTCCGAAAGCAGAGAGGCTCAGCGTTCTCAAAGCCATCAACGGCTGGTGGACCAAGGGCCATCTCTCCAATGAACTAACAGATGCGGTGGTCATACTGATTAGCAACCCACCAGAGCTATCCAGCCTCCGCCTTGTATCGCTGATGCCCATTTTGTGCAAACTAATGAAAATTATGTGTCAATAGACTGACCCACTACCTGGAAGGAGTGTCTACTTCCCTCCCGGGCAGATGGGCTTCAAGCGGAACCTGAGCATGCATGACAGTCCCTTTCCTCTGAGAAGACTGATCAACCCTCGGCGGGGCAAACGCAAAGCGCATCCTAATTACGTTCTGGTTGCGGTCAATCTTAAGAAGGCATATGATACGGTGACCTATGAAGCGATTATCGACGGACTACAAGAGGCCTACCCAAGAAGACGGAAGCTCAGGAACTTTGTGAAAAGCTTCCTTGAACACAGGATGTTTGAAATCCGATCGGAAAGCAAAACCCCCCGTCTCTTCCTCAGCATCACCAGAGTCCCACAAGGTACCATAATCTCCCCATTCCTCTTCAACGTGGTAATGCGTGGTTTGGTCAAGGAAATCCAAGAGAAAACTGAAGTTTGTCTGACGATATACATAGATGATATCTCCTTATGGACGGAAGCTACGGACTTCCCAGACATGGACTCCATAGTCGAAGTCATGCAAGAGGCACTAGACATAATGGAAGCATACCTCCACCACACAGGAATGAGCATCTCGAAACTCGAAAGAGAAGACCCAATATCTCCTCATTGGAGGCACGAATGAAGTAAGAGTGAAAGTTAATCGTAACATAGGCAATACGCTGCTCACAAGACCCGAGCGACATTGGATGCGTATCCCTGGCATCCCCATCAGCGGGAAGGGCAGCGCGGCAGAATAGATCCGCCAGTTGACGCAAACATGGAAGAGAAAAGTGCAACTAATTAAAGGGGCCCTGTAACAACTTTTTGACTGATTTTTAATTTGCACCGATCCTGAGCGCACTGAACGTAGTACCTTAATGAAACTTTTCTTTTCTCAAATTCCGCTTTATTTTAAAAGTTATAGGCAAATTAGAATTACAAAAACAAGCAAAAAATAACCTCCTTCATGACGTCGTAGGTCCTGGCTTGGGTGGCCATGAACTAGAGGAGGGACAGTGAGCTCATCGAGCGCATACGGCTGCCGCACTCCGTGTCGACGGCTCGAGAGGGCGCCACTCAAGCATGTGTTAGATAGGCTGTATGAAGCGGCCGGTCAGGGTGTCTCGCATTGCATTTGCTGCACGATTAAAGACTAATTCGGCATAACACTTCATTGGCCGCAAACAACAGCAAACACGCGGTAAATATCAGTTCAGAACAGGAGCCACTTCGCGCTGCCATACCGCCAAATGGCAAAATCGCCAGCCAAGCCTGCGCCGAAAGCCTTCGGAACGCTCGGAACCGTTCGGATCCTCGAGCCAGTATACGACTGCAGCGCCGCCGCGTACATCCGGGCCCTTTCTACGCACGCCGTTCGTCGGTGCCTCATC